GGACAGTACAGTCAACTGTTCAAAAAAATCTGTGAGTTGTTCACAAAACCGCCGTTTGACGGAAGGCTTGGACTGAGCCTGCCCCTGAATGGGCCTTGTAAGTTTGGCTTCTCTTGGCGGACGAGGCCGCGCTTAAGCAACGCTGGTCGAATAAGGGCTCCTCAGGACTGTTCATTTGTGTGTTCTGCCAGAACGTCACCAACCATTTGCGGGAGGTGGCAGCTCACGACACATCTGACTGGCTGGTGCCAAGTTTTGTTTGCAGCCTGGACGAATGTGTCTTGCACACGGATGAATCAGTCATGGCGGTGATCAGGAAACTCAAAGCCGATAAGGTCACCTTGAGGAAGGGCGCTTTGGATTAGCTTGAAAAGACTTTGGGGTTTACGTATTGCGAGGAAGGCGCGCTTTTCGATGAGAACTTCATGGCAACAATTCCTGGACCTGTATCGATGACATCTTACGACTGGATGCATATATACCTTGTCTCAGGCTTGTGGAATAGCGAGGTGTCCCTCCTTTTGAGCAAGGTGAAAGAAGGGCATGGAATCGGTGTGTCGTCGTTGGTTGCTTTTTTGAAGAAGTTGTCATGGCCCAAGAAGATCTCGCCCAGAAGCTTGAGTGGCATCAGGGCTGTTGAGAAACTGAAAGATGGACCTTTGAGTTGCTCGGCCTCTGAAGGGTTGTCGCTATACCCGTGTATCAGGGCCTGGTTGATGACTGAAGTTCCATCGTCTGTTGGAGAAGCAGGCAAGGCCATCAGGTCTTACTACAGTTTGGCTGCGGTGTTGGATCTTCTCCAGAGAACCCGATCAGAGAGCGTTTCGCCCGTTGACCCTTGACACGGTTCCTTCAACGTTTGACCACTATTTTTAGATATGTTTGGTGTCAATTTTCTTGATACTTGATTGAAGGGTGTGCAGGGGGTTCACTGTGAAAGGAAAAGTTGTGAAACTGGGATTGGGTTTGCTTTGACAGGGCGTCTGACAAACAGTTGCTCGTTTGGAACGAAACCGTTGTAAGTCATGCCGAGTTTTAAACAAAGAGAAAACGCAGCAAACTACTATAGATATAAACTTGAAATACTGAGGAGTTGCGGCAACGCAGTGAGAGTCACCTTTGCGATCGCCTGGCCGCGTACGGACCGGCGTGTATGCAGCCCAAGGCTCACTATAGCCTTCACTTGCCGTTGTTTCTGGCCCGAGACGGCCAGTTGACGAGTTGTTGGGCGCATGAAAGGAAACACCGACAGCTCAAAAGACATGCCAACCACAACACGAACGCCAACAGGAAAGTCTCGTGGGAGAGGGACATCTTAGAAGAGGTGGTCTTGGCGCAGCTGCTGGAGACAAGCGAATGGGACTGCAAGTCTGGGGTAGTGCTTCACAATCCCTTGAAAGCTTCTGCAGAGTTGACCATGGAGCTGCAACGAAACCTTGGCCACACTTTGGACTCGAGCTTTGAAGTGTTTGTTTCTTTCGACGCCCTTTGCAACTGTGTGCAGACTAGCGCGCACATGGTTGAGATCTGGTTCCATTTGCAGGTTGCGTCAGAAGTCAGTGGCGCTTCATTTCACTCAGTCGTTCCCAAGTGGAAGCCTGCAGGCCCCAATCAGTTCCGAATGACTGAGGCACCAGAATTGGTGTCCCGTTTTATGTCAGTGGAGACGTGGCAACCGTGATCCCTGAAAAAGAACTGCACCCATGTTGCATGACAGGCTTCATTTTGGACATGGAACCTGACGTTTTGCAACCCACTTGCGTGACAGGCCTCCTTTTTTACACGCAGGAACTTCATGTTTTCTGCGCAGTGCACCGTTCGATCGATTCTCGTCATGTCGTTTCGTCGTTCCATCGTTCGATCGCTCGTTTCTGCCAGGTGATCACCGTGGTCCTGGTCGATGTGCCTTGTGGACCCGAGAAAGATCTATATACCTTGAAGCGAGCCGTTGCTGGCCCTGCGTGGTCAGAAAATACGCGAGCCACAAGCGCAGGCCCTGCTTCTGATCAGCGCGGCTTTCCAAAACGTGGCGCCCTGCCTCCACGACGCGGCGCCGGTGTCCGGAAATCTCCGCCACGGCCAGGACTCGCAGGGCTTCTTGCAAGAGCTCGCATAGCGCAGGGTGCACGCAGAGCTCGCGCTTTTGCCAAAAAAACGCGACGCGGAATGTCAAAATGAACCCATATGAGGGCTCAAATTTTTAGGGTTAGTCCTGGTTATCGCGTTTATCTAACCATGGTTACAAAGGCGCTAAACATGGTTACGGAAGCGGTATAAACATGTTTAGCTAAGTGGCGCAAACGACTGCTAAATGTGTTTCGAAGTAGGCTAAAGACGTAGTAAATGAGACAGAGGTTTAGCAATCACGACGGGCATCCAAGTTCGCTCCGGCCAATACTCTGACTTAGGAGTCTACGCGATATGCCGCGTGGCCACCAGTTTGGAAGAACCAGGCCGAAGCAAGCCATCCACGTCCTCAACAAATCCTTACAGTTTCGAAGCCTCACGCCGCCCAAGACCAACCAGCCACTCACCATCACATTTCTGGCGCACGACACTTTCCAACAGAACGCTCAACGGTGGCTCACTTGTCCACTTCACCAACACAAGCGCCTTGCCGTCCCATTAACGCCTCCCGACGTGCAAACTGCGCGAAGCTGCCACACGCAACGCTTCGCAGCAAACTCCACAACCATCGTCGCTGGGAACAAGTTTTCCACCACCCGCCCCATGAGGACCAGCTCCCTTGCGGCTGAAAGCATCTCCGCCAACTACTCACCAACCCACATCACCCTACCGCCCACAATCGCCTGATCATCACACTTGATGACCTACAATTAGCGCCACACCTCTGCCACTTCATCGGCGCCAACATGAGCAGCGCCTTTTTCCCAACCAAACACCAGTATATTGACACTTTTCACAAAGCCATGACGAAGTGGCTCAAGCGTCATGGCCTACCACCTCACTGGTTCAACATGCTCAACATTTCCCCGCCGCTAAATGGCAACAACACCTGCACCACTTACATCAGGAACCACGTTTTACGGCTCGCTCCATGAAGCAATTGCAACATCTCCGGATCTTTAGCCCCAAAATCTACTTCAGAGGATGTCTCGCCGCCTGGCACTCACCAGAACTCTTCAAACCACTTCCCAATCACACCTCCGAGACCATCACACACCTCGTCCAACAAGCATTCCCAGCCCAGCTCCGTAAGAAGTACAAATGGTGCTTCCGCACCAAATTCACCACTGTCAAGGCCAAAAAACAATGGCAGAAAGGCCGCGCCATCATTTCCTACTTCAAATCACATTTTGGCGCCCTCCTTCGAGGCACCTCCACCGCTATCACTACCATGCTTCTCCGCCTCCTGCCACAAGCAAGCTGTAGGACAACTCTCCATTCCCCAACTCTGGCAGCACTTCCACGAGTACTTCAACCGCGCACGTGGGCTTCTTCAACTCGGCCCCACAAGACCGACCCTTGGATGCAGTCAAGAGCCTCACCAACAAATGGAATCTCACCTACGACACTTCTACTCTCACCATTGACATACTGGCCACAGGCAACCCCATCCAACTATCTCACATTGAAGAACACCACAGACGGCGTCCCACCCAACGCACCATTGACACACAGGACATTCCAACTAGTGTCAAAGTAGCGCTCAACGCGTTACCTATTTTCAACAGATTCGAGGAGCCGGGATTGGATCCCAACTCTCTCCAGCTTTGTGCGCTATCACCCTCATCAAACACTCTTGGATTCAACTTCACCATAGCCTCACGGACCACGCACAGATCCACTGTGTATACTATCGCTTTGTCGACAACCACTTCTTCACCTTTGACGTCACCTTCCTCAACCAGATCGGCGTCCAAACCCTCATCTATCCTGAATTTTCGGCCATCCTGTGGAGCTCGAACCCGTGGATGATATGCACCTCCTCGGCTTCGACTCACTCAACGCACCATCACCTTCATTCAACCGGATGCACCATGGAAAATTCGCGACCACGCTTCCGCTGGATCCTAACGTCTACGACTTTCAGGTCTCAACTCCTGCGCCCGCCTCGTCCGCAACTACACGTACCCGGCCTCGGCGGAAAGCGAGTGCTCGTTCACCTTGCCCGCTTGCACGCCCAAAATGGGCACGACCTTGCTCATTGACAAGTGATCCGAGCAAAAAAAGACTCCCGCCCAACGATTTCGAGTACATGACCACCGAACCCTTTGAAACCCCTTGCAGCACACTCCGTTATTCCCACCCACCTCCCCATCAGAGCGCACCGAATGACGGCTTCTTGTGTATGTCAACTCCTGTTATCAAGGAACTCCACCACACTAAAGATTCACCTCCGTAATGCACATAATTCGAAGAGCGTGTGAAGGAATCATTGTATAGTTGCACGGGGGGGGCAACGAACATTTTGGAAGGCATTGCCCAACGAAGACCCTTCCATCGTGTTGTGAAATGACTTTGGGACGCCGAAGTCACGTACCTGCAAAACTTTTAACATGTTCTAAAGTGCAAATGCAGTTCTTTTCTCTGACGCGGCATTTCTTTCCGTTGCATCAAGTCAAGTGCTACGTATTCACCTAAAGGGTCAATGCACTGGGAGATCTTAACTGACTTAGCTCTTGCGAGCCTTTATCTACGCGTGTGTGTGTGTGTGTCATCCTTGCGCAGGTGGATGGGATCATGTTTCCCAATCATGTAACTTGCTCCTAAAGTGCCAGCTTTGTAGACGCGTGACCAAGTCTAGGCAGGCGCCAAACAATACATTTTTCTAAATTATCAACATACATTTTTTTCAAGGCGCAACTGATATATCTTGCCCCTGTGTTGAGTCCAACTTTTCGTGTGTACGTGTTTTTGAAGTTGGAGAGCCAACCTGGCTGGGGAAAGTGTTGTTCTTTCTATAGCTTGTCTTTCTTCTCACCTGTTCTTCAGTTTCTCCAACTGCCGTCGCGTCGTCGTGCCGCTCCACGCCCGAGGCAGTTCGGTCCCAACGAGGCGAATGGCCAGGTGAGATGTTTGTTCGCGCCTTCTTTTCGGATTTAACTTGTTCCTAGTAAGGCACTTGTTACTAGTAGCGATGCATTTGTTCCTATATGGGCAATGCTTAATGGGTAATAGTATGGCAGCGTGATGCATGTTCATGACTGTCATTTTCAAAACTTCTTGCCAGGCTCGTGACTTGAGATGAGAAACCGCAAAACGCAGAGTTTCTAGTAGCGTCCTACTAGGGGTTCCTGGCCTATACTAGGAGCAAGAAGCTACGAACGGGACTCTTGGCACCCCTACTAGGAGCGATCGAACGCTACTAGAAAAATTGTGTCTTCAACCTGGGCAAAGACCGCCCAAATGACGCTGAGAAAGGCCATGTCACTTGCGCGCGCCCAGCCCATGTGCGAACGCTGTCGCCAAGGCAGAGAGCCACACATTGCCAATAGAAATTTGCCGCAGCCCTTTGCCAAGTTGGAACTGGCCAACGTGATCCAGAATCACAAGCAAAACTTGTATTTTTTTGTGTTTTCAGGCATCGCGGAAACCTAAATTGACAAATACGTTCAGACGTGTAACGGGGCCATGGCGAGGTTCTCAGCTGTCGCAGTGCTTGCTTTGATTGTGTTTCTGTTCACGTACTTCAGCGGCTTCAGCGCCTGTGCGTTTCCTTCCTTACCGATTTTGGAGACAAGAAAGGTTGTGTCGGAGAGTGTGTCAAACTCTCTTTCAATCGCAGAGAGTTTTGGATTCTTTGAAGAATCCGATTCCCGATGGTTTCTCCGGAAATTGATTCATTCCCACCAAGCTGCTGCTGAGCGAAGCTGCCAAGCAGAATGTTTCCACTTGGGAGAGGGTCCGTGCGTCGGGCGGAAATGGTGGCAGCTTCATTTGGAGCCTTCGTTCAGCTGTTCCTTTGAACGCAGAATTGGACCCATTGGGGCCTTTGGCAAATGGGTGTGCAATCCACATCAAGTCGGTCAAGTCCGTGACGGTTGTTTGGTGTATTCGTTCAGAGGTGTTGCCAACACCTTTGAGTTTGAAACAGCTTTGCGCAACGAAAGGAGACATTGTGAGATCCATGTCTTCGGCAACGCGTCGCAAGTTGTACCACCGCCCTTCATTCAGTACCATGTCAAACAAGTTGGTGGTGTCGCTCCTTTGGTTGACATCAACCAGATAGCCAAGGAACTTGGCCACACAGGCAGGAACATCGACATTTTGAATATTGATTGCCATGGATGTGAATGGGATCGGGCCCAATACTCTGGCTGGTTTCATGACGACGTTTTTGTGCGTCAACTGCTGGTCAGACTCACGTGGCCTTTTGATTACGAGGCTCACGGACTGCATCCCGGCCTGGGAGATTACCTCACAACACCTAAAGACCCACCGCCTGAAATTCCAGCTTTTCTTTTGTTCTTGCAAAGCAAAGGGTTCGTTGTAACCCACAAGGAGTTTGACACTGCGCGGTGCGGTGGGAATTGCGTCGAAATGACATTCTTGCGACTTCACGATGATTTTGCACGTTCATTTCTTGCGTTGCCGACCCGAGCCTGCTGGGACAGCCGCGGTCCGGTTGCGCAAGAAATGCTAAATGGCACCTTTCGTCGCTTCCAAGTCGTGAAAGAGAGCCTCTCTTGGAAAGAAAGCTTTGGCTACATCGGCGAAAGTGATGTTGATTGGCAGAGGCGAAAGCAGATTCACAAAGAGGCCATGGATCTTCAGTTGAAAATCTCTCAGGTACTACAACGCTATGAGACTTCGCATTTCGATCCTGGAGACTTTTTCTATTACAACCCACTTTCACTTGCGACTTCGTCCGAAGGCTAGGGCGTTTAGGTGACGGAAAGTGGGTGTGCAATCCACATCGCCTCACATGGGAAGCTGCTTCTGGCTGTTTGGTGTATTCAATTGGCAGCAACGGTGATAGTTCGTTTGAAACTGCGATCCATGATTCCATTTCACCTTCATGTGAAATACATGCATTCGATGTGCGACCGTGGCACAATTACACAACCGTTCAGATGCCAAAGTTCATGAACTACCATACTCAGTTGATTGGCAGTTTGCCACCTGCTAAAAGTATTCCTGAGATTGTGAGAGACTTGAACCACACGGGTCGCAAGATCGATATTCTCAAAATTGATTGCGAAGGCTGTGATATTCTCGACACCGGTGTCCTGGCTTGGTTTGAAGTAGATATTCGAATGATTTTGGTCAACGTCCACGTGAAGGAGCGTGTACCGTCGGAATTCGCTCGCATACGGCGCTTCTTTACGGAGTTGCAGTTTGCGGGTGTCATTTACCACAAAGAGCCGGGCTATGTCTATCGGTGCGGCGGAGGTTGCTACGATTTTGCTTTCAAATTGCACCCGGATTTTTGAGGTGCCGAGTCGGAGGTTGCTTGCGACGCACTGACGGCGAAAGAGCACAGTGCTGTCAGTGGCGTCTTGGAATTTTGCGTGTCAGACGGGCAAAGCACGTGTAAAAGCTTCAACACAATGGTAGCACGGAAGATATATGGCGCGTGGTCCCCCACAACAGATAAAAGTGGCAACAGTGTTTCTTGTAGAAAGCGTTGCTTTTCTTGTCTTCACGCCCGGCCATCCAAGAGCACTTGCGCTGAAAAAGCCTTAAGGGCGTCAGTTGAACGAAGTAGCGAAAAGGGTCGTTCAACTCACGGGATCAAATTGGGAAGCGTGCCCGACACTGTGAGCGTTTTGGACCTTACCATACCTGGACCTTCCACGGGTGTGTTTTTTCTGCCGTTTGGCGAAACAGCACAAATTTCAGTCGTTTGCCGTCAAACGCCGTTTCGATGTTTTTACAGAGGTTACCAAACTAGCAGTTGGCAAAAGTCGCCGTTTGGTCGGGGAAAGTCGCCGTTTCAAAACCTTGACATACCATCGAAAACATGTCAATGCAAAAAGTGCATCAGTACAAAATAGTTGGCGTTTGCTTGAAAAAGCAGTTTTGATTGAAAAGGCGGAAAAAATGCATACTTATGAAGACCCAGGTATGGCAATATGTGAGTCACCGCGGAGTGGATCCAATTCAACTGAACGCTGTAAAATGAAACTGACAGGCTTCGCCAACCGGCGCCCGTGGGGGGACGGTGCGTATCTGCACCGCACTCACTTCATAGCATGTATAGAAACATGTTGAGGCCTTTCGGATCCAGAAAACCTCGGGTAGCGGAGCTGAGAAGGCCGACGCAGTTGTGTTGGCGCTCCGGGATTTTTAACCTTTGGGTAAGTTCGACCCTTACAACCGGTGTAGCATTTTGCTCGCAGTCAGTGCTTGAGATTACGCGAAGGAGATCTTCGGCAGCCAGAGCACACTACTTGCTCTTGATCGAGGAGGTTTTGGCCGAGCTAGAGGGCGCGATGGATCAGTCAGAGATGACTGGCCCAGGCGGTGACAGCAGCAGCCACAGCTGCAGCGCAAGCTGCTCAAGCAGGCGCGGCGAGTGGCAGTGGAGGAGGAGCTGCAGGAGGGTCGAGTCCTGAAGAAAGACCTCGCCAAGCTGATCCCAAGGCCCAGTTCCTTCAATCCTCGCTTCGGTGTGGTACTGGACGGTCAAGAAGTACCTGGTGGTGGTTGACTGCGCCTTCCAGGACGAGTTGGAGGCGAATCTGAGCCCTCGGTGACTGGGAGCTGCTGCATTGAACAGGTTTTTGTACAGCCTGCTTGGGACCTTAGTCCAGGGCCGGTTGACAGGAGTCATCAAGAATGTGGAGAAGTTCAAAGGGATGGAGGCTCTGAGACAGTTGTTGATGAACTGTCAACCCCAAGCAAGGAACAGGACGATGAATCTCCTGCAGGGCATCATGTCCTACCCCAGCTTCAACATGAAAAACTCTTTGTTGCCCCAGATCCTGAAGCTGGAGGAGCACTGCGCGAGCACCTTGGAGGAAAGCTGTCCCAGGATATGAAGTCGGCCGTTCTCCTTCGAGCAGTGTCCGGCCAGATGAAGACGCGCCTGAACTTGACACTGAACGAAGGCAGCTCGTACAGCAAGATTAGAGAGGCCATCATCGCCTTCTCGATGCGGCAACGACGAAATGGAATGAGTCAGGCGCTGACGTTCTCAGGAATGAGCCTAATTACATCTGATCCAAATGGCATGATGCCTATGGAGATCGACCGCATCAAGGGAAATGGCAAGAAGGGCAAAGGCAAGTCCAAAGACACCAAAGGGCAAGTCGAAGGGCGAAGATGATAAGTCCAAGGGCAAAGGCAAAGGAGGCAAGCCCAGTGGAAAAGATGGAAGGTGGTGGCAAATTCGGCAAGGGTGGCAAGGGCAAGAACTCCGGTGAGGTTTGTTGGACCTGCGGCAGGCCAGGACACATGGCGCGTGACTGCTGGAGGGTTCGACAGGTGGAGGCTCCAGCGACATCACCTTCGACCACCTTGACGATGGGCGCTACGAGTGGAGGAGGTGGTGAATCGAGTACAGCCGCCAAGAACATCAGGCGGGTTAAGCTGGTGCAATTGGTATGGTGAGCGAGGTTAAATTTTTTTTAACACTGCCTCAGATGACGAGGGTGAGTATGATGGCTACACGGTCAACACCATCGTCGGGACCGACAATGAGGAGGAGAGTGGAGAGCTTTATGGAGATGAGCAGGACCAGGAGCTACAGTCCTTCAAGCTGATCGTTGACTCCGGTGCTGATGCTTCGATTTTTCCTGGCAAGTTCATGAAGGGCACGGGCAACGACCAAGTGCTGCAGGAGGCACCCCATTTGCAAGTTGCACCGGGCAAGAAGATCAGGAGTTATGTGTGAGGTCACATTCAGCGACATGGTCAGTCAGCCAATTTTATCATTTGGCCGCTTGATGAGGAGCGGCTGGTCGATTAGTACAGTTCCAAAGCCCGCAGTTCATTCCTGGCTTCCGTGATCAAGGAGATGGAGTTTGCAGATCCACCTTAGTGGAACGTCAAGGAAGCTGGGAGTTGGTGGAGATGGCTGAGCCTATTGATGGGTTCAATGAGCAGGAGGACGAGTTCGAAGAACTGAGAGATGTCGGCCTTAGTAAGGTGATGATCTTTGATGGCCCAAGGAGGAACAGTTCCAGAGGTGTTTGGCTTTGAGATTGACAATGCAGTCCAGTTGGGTCCACGGCCAGCCATGGAGGAGTTGGCCATTCCTCAAGCCCAGGATGATCGGATATGGAGGAAGTTGGTGGAGCAGAAGTCCCAGCAGGAGAAGTACCAGATCAAGGACGTGACCTGGAGGATCAAATGGTACGCTGTGAGGTTGGTGTTGCTCTCCCTGAAGAGATCCGGGTGAATGAAGTGCCGCTGACGATGGATAGTCCATTGAGGAGCTTAAGAGCAGCTTGCGCTTTCTACCAGATCGGCCAGAGTGGTGGAAGAAGTAAATGCCTGCTGATGGCAAAAGATCTGGTTGCCAGAGGCAACGCCATGAACCAGAGGATTCCAGTGGGGCAGGTTTCGGCCAAAGTTCCAACAGAGGCTGAGCGAAAGGCTCATGAGCTCACCCATGTACCCTATGCTCCATGGTGCCCAGCCTGCATCAAGCACAGAGCCAAGCCCGATCAGCGCCGGTGAAGCGGTAAATCTCATGACCAAGGATGCCCCACTATCTCGCTCGACTTCTGCAAGGTGAAGGCAGGAAGGAGGTTACGGGGCATTGGGTGAAGGAGAAGAAGATGAAGCCCAAGAAGGAGTACTGTTCAAGATGATGAGAGTGGTGCTTTGTGGATGGTAGCAGTATGCTCAGAAACAGGCTCCATTCTGGGATTACCCCTCAAATCCAAGAACCAGACGAACTGATTTCACGCATGAGCTCTCGCAAGACATGAAGCAGTACAGTATTACTTTGACAATGAGCCCACAGCCAGGCAGATTGCGCGTCTTCTGGTCTCTTCAAGGACGGCTATGGGATTGAAGACAACTATGCGCGCCACAAAGCTGTATGACAAAATGATAAGATGTGCCCATTTGGAGAAGTGGTCTTTGCCTACTCCAAGCAGAAGCAAGGCTTCACAGCCGATCCAAAGTGGAAAGTGGTGATTTGCTTGGCTAAGACCGAGATGCAGGACGCTTGGGTCATTGATGATGGCAATCGAGTGTTTCTCAGCCGGTCATTGAGGAGAGTTGCAGATGCCTGCGCACGGTACCTGGCTTGCTATCAGGGCTTCACAGGATACTCTTGGGATTTTCAACTCGGTGGCAGGATCGTCCCCTCGAACAGAGTGGCATCTATGGTTTGAGGACCACTCCTTGGACTGTCTTCCCCGGATTTGCAGCCAACGATGACGATGCCAGGAGATCATTGCCTTCTCAAGGTCCTACGCCGGGAAATTGGAGGAAGCGAAAGACCTGGTAGACGTCGACGAGAAGAAGCCGGAGGTACCAAAGGTGCTGAGTGAAGAGCAGAAGCTTGCAGAGGAAAAGAGACAAGACTATGTAGAGGAACGCGTCATAATTCCTGCTGTCAAGGTTCCGGATGCCGATACCAAGGATGAGACTCGTAATCAAACAGGTCCTTCAGCACCTATGGCTACACCAAGGAGTTCCCCACAGAAAATCGGCTTGAATACAGTTGATACTGAAGGAGATTCCAAGAGAGTGAAGCTCACACCCTCAAAGCCCGTTCATGGAAGTGAAGGAGAACATCCAGAGCCCAAGCGCTTGAGGATGGAAGATGAGATCCCACAGGTGGAGAGGAGAGTCCAGTCAACAGGAGTGGGAAGTGATACCTACTACCACATGGATCAGTTCTTCGGCAAGGAGGAGTTCCTAGCATGGGATGAGGAAGAGGAAGAAAGTCCCTCGGCGGTGACAATCCCACAGGCATTGCGGTGACCAGCGCCACTTGATCGAGTCCCGCCAGATCCACCAGCTTGGGTCGATGAGCTAGCAGATGAGGTGGAAGAACAACGGCTCTTGAACATGGGAGTCCTTGAGGCCATGGATGGAGAGAAGGTTAGATTCAAGAAGCTGACCACCAGATTTGTGAGAGATTGGAGGGTGAAACCACGCACTGACCCTCCAGGCTCGCCCAAATAGTTCCTCAGGCGGTCGAGATTGGTGGCGCGTGAATACGCAGTGGATCGAAGAGATGATGCGCATAGCCCTGCAGCTGGAGGCCAAACTTTGCGCTTGCTCCCCATCATCTACCTCATGAAGAAGTTGGAAGGACAAGATGGTGGTGACCAATATTGCTGGGTTCCATGGATGTGAATGATGCTTTCCTCCAAGTACCTCAGAAGGGGCCCGCTAAAGCGCAGACGGCGCGCAGCCACTACGAGGTGAAGCGAAACCTTCCTGGGCAGCGGCTGGGCGGCGCATTGGCTTAGTTCGACTACTTCACGGATTGGTTGAAGAGCAAGGGCTTCCACTTCTCGAAAAG